CAAAGTCCGTCTCTAGGCAGGAACAGACTGTGGCCTGAGCTGAACAAGCCTGTCTGCAGCTCTGAGGGTGTGAACTCACTCCCCCAGATCAGTCGCTGAGCTGTGGGGCCGAGTCACAAGGTGGAGATAAACAGCCAGGAAAGTCAGTGAAATGCTGGCCTTGGAGTGGGCCGCTCAACCTCGTTCCCCAGCAGCGGGGACTGGGAAGAGACCCCCTCTGCAGTCTTGGGGCGGGGGGCTCTTTAGCTCAGCCTCTGGTTGCTCGCCCCTTCCAGAGAGGGGGATGACCTTGTCGGGCACTCCTTCTCACTCTTCCACGGTCTTCCTACAGCATCGTTTGTGGCCTCGGCATTCATGGCCAGGGGCAAATCCCTGCAAATCTTTCTGGACATTTCCTTAAGGAACAAATCATGAGCCAGCGAGCAATCCCACTGCTAGATAGATCCACCAGAGAAACGAGCACGAAGGCCCACCAAAAATAATAATAACAAGCACAGAACAATCCGGACAGCTTTATTCGTAACCGCCCCAAACTGGAAATGCGACAAATGTCCATCAGCAGTAGGAAGCATAAATAAATCGTGATATGGTCCCACGGTGGGACAGCACTCAGCAATAAAAATTGTTATTGTTCACGTGCAACAACCTGGAGGAATTTCACAGATGCAGTGATGATCAAAAGACGGCAGACCTACGATACAACGTGCTGCGAGATGCCATTTAGATGAGATCCAAGAACAGCCCAAGTGAATAGATGGCGACACCGGTTAGAAGAGTGGCTTCCTCGGGATGGGGAGACCGCCCTGGGTATTGGAAATGTTCCTTGTCTGGTTGGTAGCAGCGTAAGTGTGTGTGTGTGTGTGTGTGTGTGTGTGTGTGTGTGTGTGTGTGAAAATCTTCAAGTTGTATACTCAAGATTTGTGTATGTTACCATATGTACATTATGCCTCGATTAAAGCAATTAAAGGACCAATGATCTCCCGGTTCGTGAGTTCGAGCCCCGCATCAGGCTCTGCGCTGGCTCGGGCGTGCTTTCTCTCTCCAAATGAATGAATGAATGAATGAATAAACAATCAAATGACCAAATACATTTAAAATTTGTTCTATAAGGTATACATTCTGGCTCTTTTCCCATGAACATCCCGGCCACACTGGTTCTCTTTGTCAGTTGGGTGCTGGGGTGGGCAGTTCCATAAGTGGCTCTTCAGAGGTTTCCTGCTCCAAAGCATGAGAGGCTCTGAATTGCTGCCCTGCACCCATGACCGGCCCACAGAGGCACCTGCTTCCCTTTGCCGTCAGCCCCCTTGACCTGTTGTCTTCCCATATAAAGTGCCAAGGGAGAAAAGAGCAGGAAGATACGGGACCTGAGACATGGGAAGGCCACATGAAAGGGTGAACATTTGAGCAGGGCCATGGCGGAAAAAAGTCTAGGAGGATCTGTGCTACGCGGGTAACTGTGGTTAACTCCGCAGAGAGAAAGGCAAGGGAATGTTCACGTTTTACTCCACATGTTTCTGTAATGGTTGAAGTTTTTATTTTATTTTAATTTTATTCTTTAAATGTTTATTTATTTTTGAGAGAGAGAGAGAGTGTGTGAGTGGCGAAGGGGCAGAGAGAGAGGGAGACACAGGATCTGAAGCAGGATCCAGGCCCCGAGCTGTCAGCACAGAGCCCGACGTGGGGCTCAAACTCACAGACCACGAGATCATGACCTGAGCCGAAGCTGGACGCTCAACCGACTGAGCCACCCAGGCGCCCCTGACTGAAGTTTTTAAATGAACACGAATTATCTCTATATTTAAAAATAATAATAACATATATTCACAAAACTCATATAGTCCGACCATCTCAGTGGCGAAGGTACAGGCAGAGGCGGGAGCGTTTTGCCCAAGATTACATGACTACCCTGTGGCAGACCAAGGCTGTCATCGGGCCCTCTGGTTACCCGCGTCCTGCTGTTTGGAACTTGTTCTGTACAAGACCTGGCCTGTAATTACAGTTGAATGTTCTTGGTTGCTGATCATTTCACTTGTTTTTCCGACTGAGATTTTTCTCTCAGGATACGTAATATATCAGCTCAGGCCGTCATATCAAAACACCACAGGCCCAGTGGCTTAAACAGCAGAAATGCATTTTCTCACAGTTCCGGAGACTGAATGTCTAAGATCAGGGTGTCACCACGGTGGGATTTCTTCCTGGCTTGCAGATGGGACTACCTTCTTGCTGTGTCTTACATGGTATTTCCTGGGTGTAGAGGGAGAGAGGGAGTTCAAGCTCTCTGGCATCTCTTCTTACAAGGGCACTAATCCCATCAGACCAGGGCCCCACCCTCATAACCTAATGACCTCCCAAAGACCTCATTACAAAAACCATAACATTGGGTGTCCGGGCTTCAACATATGACTTGGGGTGGGGGACACACACATTAAGTCTATCACACAGACATAGCCCTCCCAGATACGGGACATAATTATGACTCCTTTCTCCATCTTGGAGGACATTTTTTTCCCCCTGAACTTTATTTAGTTTAACTAACAACTCTTTACTGAGCACTTACCGTGTTCTAAGATCTTAGGATACATCGGTGAACAAAAGGACAAAGACCCCTATCCTCATGATTCCTTTTTAATGTTCGCGGGCCCCGGGGCTTAGTCCTTGGTTCCCTTTCTCTTGGGTTAATCCACTTTCATTCTCTTGGTGATCTCATCCAGCTTCACAGCTGGCTGTAGACAACATGTGTAAGACAAAGACTCCTACCTTTCGATTTGCAACCCCATCTGTCCCAACTCCACTGCCCACCCAGCACTCCCGCTTGGTTGACTAATATCTGTAGTGGGCGGTATGGGATGCAGGCTGGATTTTTCCCCTTCAGGTCCAAGGTACTCATTCCCAAAGCCGTAGGGGGTGTTGCCTGCTCACAGCCGACCTCCCCCAGGGACTGCCTTCGGCTGAAGGGAGCTGCGTCACCCAATCGAGTGACTGAGGTAGCCGACCAAGGCTCAGTCCTCTCGCTTCAATTCAAGACAACTTTAAGAAGTCATTCCAGGGACCCCGGGGGGCTCAGTCGGTTAAGTGTCCAGCTCTGGATTTCGGCTCGGGTCAAGATCTCACGGTTTGTAAGATCAAGCCCCGCGTTGGCCTCGCTGAGCATGGAGCCTGCTTAAGATTCTCTTTCTCTCTCTCTTCCTCTGCGCCTTCTCCCCTGCCCACACACACATTTTCTCGCTCTCAAAATCATTCCAGTTCAGGTACGTGGTATGTGGCCATTGAGATGGCAGATAAGTTCTCCTCTATCCTATCTGGAAGGATGACAGGAAGTTGTCCACATTCACAAGGGATGAACAACAGCATCCATTATGGTCTAGCCCCAGGGCTACGTTAACTCTCTTTCGTCTGTCACAAAACCGACTGAAGGGACTTGGACCCCCTGGACATTCTGCAGAATATCTTGTTGATCCACTATGTCAATGAACGAAAGTGGAAAGTGGATTGGAGTCTTGACGAGACATGTTTGTTTCAAAAGAGGGAAAATAAATCCTATGAAGAGTCAAAGGCCCTGTTAAAAACGCATGACCATGCCTCACAGAGATGTTTATAGCAATGTATTTCATAATTGCCCAAATTTGGAAGCAACCAGGATGTCTTTCAGTAGGGTGAATGGATGCATAAACATCCAGATGATGGACTATTCCTCAGTGCTAAAAAGAAATGAGGTATTAAGCCGTGAAAAGACACAGAGGAAGCTTAAATGCACTAAGTGAAGGAAGCCAACCTGAAAAGGCTCCGTACTGTACGATCCCAGCTACCTGACATCTGGAAAAGGCAAAAGTATGGAGATGGTGAAAAGATCAGTGGTTTCCAGGGCTTGGTGGGAAGGGAGGGATGAACAGGTGGAGCACAGAGGATTTTTTAGGGCAGAGAAACTACTCTGTATGATACTATAATGGTAGAGACATGTCATTATACATTTGTCCAAACCCATAGAACATTCCACGCCAAAAGTGGACCCTAATGCAAACCATGGACTTTGGGTGATTATCATATGTCAACACAGGATCCTCGATTGTAATAAATGTACCACTCTGGTGGGGGCTGTTGATAATGGGAGAGGCTGTACATGTGTAGGTCAGGGGGTACGTGGGAAATTGCTGTACTTTCTGCTCAGTGTTGCTGTGAACTTAAAACTTCTCTGAAAAGTAAAGTCTATTTTTAAAAAAAAGTCAAAGGCCCACCACATCAGTGAAATTTTTAGGGGTCTTGGAGCATTTAGGACATCCTTTTTTTAAAAAATAGTTTTTAAATGTTTATTTTTGAGCGAGAGGGAATAAGCAGGGGAGGAGCAGAGAGAGGGGGACAGAAGATCTGAAGTGGGCTCCGCGCTGACAGCAGAGAGCCCGATGCAGGGCTCGAACCCACGAACTGTGAGATCATGACCTTGGCCAAAGACGACTGAGCCACCCAGGCGCCCCAGGACATCCTTTTCAAAGTAAAAGACAAAGTAAAAGATAAATTGCATCTCTCACCACGAAACAGGAAGCATAATGCCTGGCAGGACTCTTCCGGTTCCAGAAGCTGCATATCCTATACTTGGGAATACTACTCTGACCCGTTTGCTGTGCGGCATAGAAGGATGGCTAGATTTAAGTGGGGTTCAGTAGAGGGAAAGTTTTCTGCAACAGGTCCAGGCTGAAATGCAGGAAGCCCTACCACTTGGGTCATAAAAACAGGCAGATCTCTACCATAATATCTGTGCTCTCAAAAGATATGTGGAGCTTATATCAAATCCCAAAAGGAGAGCCACATCATAAACTCCAGAGCTCTGAAACAAGGCCAAGCCATCTGCAGCAAAGAATTTGAAAACCGGCTCCTGGCATGCTTTGATTTTTGGTAGAGATGGAGTAACTGACCATGGGATATCAAATAATCATGTGGCCAGACTGCCCATCATGAGCTGGCTCCTGTCAGGGCTACTGGGTCAAGGTCATGTGGGTCCAGGAGCAATGCACTATAAGATAGACCAGAAGGTGCAAGTAAGCTGAAGGAGTCAATTGCCCAGATTTCCATGTCATCTGGGACTATGGTACCAGTATCTCTCCTCAGTCCTTTATGACGAGCTGATGGAGAAGGAAAATGGCCAACTTGGTTCACATATAGGTCAGCTTGGTATGTGCGTGCAAAGCAAAAATGGACTTGTGATGTACAACTGCTCCAGACAGTGGTTAGGGGGAAATCCTCCCAATGGGCAGAACCTCGTGTTGTGTGGAAAGAGAAGTGGCCTTGGTTAAGAATGTACATAAATTCATGGACAGTGGCCAATGGCTTGGCTAGTTGGTCACGGGGTCTGGAGGGGTAGAAATATTGGAAGATCAGGGACAAAGAGGCATGTGGGAAATCCCGTGGTAGTCAGTAAAAAGTGTGAGTATCTTGGTATCGCATGTGATCCCCTACCAGAGAGCATCTGCTATGGAAGAGGCACCAAGCACTCATGTGGTCAGAGCCACCCAGTCAGTTCATGTCGGCCAGCCCCTGTCATCAGCCATTCCGGTACTGAGATGTTGCCCTTGAACGGAGTAGCCATGGTGGCCAAGATTACATGGGAGTTCAACAGTGTGGGCTCCCCTCTTACCCTCTAATGTCACTGTTGACTATCCAACCTGGCAGCAGAGACACCAGTGTGTTAGAGCCAGCCTACGAAGCTTTGGGACAGTCGACTGTCCACCTTTCAGGAGTTTTGTGCGACAGTTGACATCATGTTGGTAGCGTGGAATTGGCCATGGGAATACTTACAACAAGGAAATCAGCAGATGCTGCAAGTCAGGTTCCCACGCCCCCCCCCCCCCCACGGCCCTTACTCAGATTTTTAAATATTCACCCGGCATACTAGTCAACAGAGACCAAGGCTGAGCCCCTGATACAGTACCATCCCTTGAGGACACCAACCAGCCCCTTGATAGCAAGTTGATTACATTGAACTTCTTTCACCTTGAAATGGGCAGCAATTTATCTTGACTGAAATTGACACATATATCAGGGCCTTTTCTGCCAACAGGGCCTCACCCAACAATACTATCTGAGGGCTTACAGGTTCAACTCACTACCCCAAGACCCCACACTATCTAGCATGGGACTAAGGAACATACACTAGAGCAAAGGGGGTGTAGCAGTGGGGACATGACCAGAGAATCCACTGGCCCGATCACATAGGGCAACACCTAGAAGCTGGTAGAGTGATGGAACAGCTTTCTGAAGGTACAGCTGAGTTATCACCTTGTAGGCAATACCCTACAAAGATGGGGTGCCATTCTCCAAGATGCGACATACACCCTAAATCAATACCCTTTATAAGGTACTGTGTTCCCAACAGGCAGAATACACGGGTCCAGGAATCATGAAGTAGAAGTAGGAGAGGCCTTGTTTACCATCAATCCCGGTGACCCAACTTGGGGAATTCGTGGGTCCAAATCCTGGAACTCTGAGCAATACGGGTTTAGAAGTTCTGGTTCCTGGAAGGAGAACACTTACTAGAAGACTCAGCAAGAGTCCCATTAAATTGCAAGCTATGGTTTGTTCCTGACCACTTTGGGATCCAATAGAGAAGCAAAAAAATAAGTCACCATCCCAACAGGGCTAATTGCCCCCATTCATCACAAGGAGATAGAACGTATACTATACACGAAGGGCAAGGAAAAATTCGGCACCACGTAATCCACTAAGTGCATTTGAGAACACTTTGCCCAACTTCCTGTGTCAGCTTCACTGAGCTAAAATTTACAAACGATAAAGTTCACTACTTTTTAGTGAACAGTTGTATGGTTTGAGGAATATAGATAATAATGTAACCACCACCATGATCAGAGTACAAAACATTTCCACATCTTGCCAAAAAGCTTCCCCGTGCCCCTTTGGGGCCAAATCTCTCCTCCTTCCCCTTGGCCCCTGGCAACCACTATGTACTTTCTAGCACTATTGTTGTGCCTTTCCTAGGATTTCCTGTACAAGGAATCGTACAGTATGTAGTATTTTGTGTCTGACTTCTTTCATTTAGCGTAAAGCTTTCAAGATTCATCCATACTGTTGCTTCTGGCTGCTGAGCAGTATTCCATTGTTATCGACTGGCTACACCTCACTTAGTTTCTCCATTCACCAGGCACCAGACATTTGGGCTGTTTTCAGTTTGGGGTTATTATCAATAACACCACGGGGTGCCTGGGTGACTCGGTTAAGCGTCAGACTTTTTTTTTTGAAAAAAATTTTTTTTCCTTTTTAATCTTTATTTGTTTTTGAGAGAGAGAGAGAGAGAGAGAGAGAGAGAGAGAGAGAGAATCCAAAGCAGGCTCCAGGCTCTGAGCTGTCAGCAGAGCCCAACGCGAGGCTCGAACTCACGAACCTTGAGGTCATGACCTAAGCCAAAGACAGCCACTTAACCGACTGAGCCACCCAGGTGCCCCAAAACATTTTTATTTTTAATGAAGTCTAATTTGTTCACTGTTTTCTTTTAAATAGAAAGAAAGTAGTCATCTTGAGCAGTCAAGAAATCTTTTCCTAACTTATCACTAGGATTTTCTCCTGTGTTGGTTCTTGATTTTTATTGTTTTAGCTCTTACATTTAGGTTTATGATTCTTTTCATTTTTGTTTTTGATTTTGTTTTAAGATGGGAAGCATTTCCTCATCTCCTATTTTCTGGAAGATTTTGTGTAGAATTGACAATATTTTCTCCTTAGATATTAGGTAGAATTTACTAGTGAAGCCATTTGGGCTTAGAGTTTGTTTTATTTTGTTTTTTTTTTGGGGGGGGGTTGTGGGAAAGCTTTAAAACAAACAAACAAAACAAAAAACTAAACAGAAATCCATACTTTATTCAGAGTTCCTTAGTGCTTTTTTAAAAAAAATTTTTAATGTTTATATATTCTTGAGAGAGACAGAGCATGAGCAGGGGAGGGGCAGAGAGAGAGAGCCACACACAGAATCCGAAGCAGGCTCCAGGCTCCGAGCTGTCAGCACAGAGCCCGACACAGGGCTCGAACCCACAAACTGAGAGATTATGACCCCAGCCGAAGTAGACACTTAACCGACTGAGCCACCCAGGTGCCCCAGAATTCCTTGGTTTTAACCTACTTCCCCTTTTCTGTGCGAGATTCTTATCCAGGACACCACACTATATTTGCTCGTCATGGCTCCCAAAGCTCTTCTGTGATAGTTTCGCAGACTTTTCTTGTTTTTGATGACTTTGACAGTTTTGAGAGGAACTGGTCAGATAGTTTGTAGACTGTCCCTCAACTGGGATTTATCGGATGTTCTTGTCATGATTAGACTGGGGTTATGGATTTTTAGGGAGGTAGACCACATATAAACCAGCTCTGGCAATAATTATCCATGATTTACATTCCCCTAATAAAAAGATAAAGGCTCAGAACGGGGTAAAAATGAGAGTCAAACTATCGGTTGCTTACAGGAGACTCACCTAAAACAAAATGATCCCAAAAGGTTAAATTAAAAATTAATGGGATGGTTGGGGCGCCTGGGTGGCTCAGTTGGTTAAGCCTCCAATTTCATCTTAGGTCACGATCTCGCGGTTCCTGAGTTCGAGCCCTGCATTGGGCTCACTGAAGTCAGTGTGGAGCCTGCTTCAGATCCCGTCTCCTTCTCTCTCTGCCCCTCCCCGTTTGTACTCCCTCTCTCAAAAATAAATAAACATTTAAAAAAAATTAGCGAGATGGCAAATGCAAAATGAAAACAGTAATTTTAATACCAGACAAGGCAGAAACTCTCATTCAATGTCAGAGACTCTGTCTTTTTAGGATGTACTGAAAACTCACCTCTCTGCCCCTCAGAGCTTTTGGGGAGGGAAGGATCTGGGGGGAGCCTGATGGAAAGACTCCAGGCCAGACTGCCGGGGACCCAGCTCACCAAAGTGGCTAGGACAGATGGTGTCCTTCCCATGCCCCTGGGCCACAGATGATTGTGTTGGCATCTTACCACTTCGGGAAGATCCCCTCCCATCCTTCTCTGTGGCTTCAAATCACTTCTGTCGATCCAGAGAGAATCAGCTGAGGAAGGAAGAGACTCAGTGAGGAGGCCTTGCCAGGCCTGGCTCACCATGTCCCTTCTTCCCTCTAGGACTCCGTTTCCTTAACTGCAAAAGGAGTTTGGATTTTCTGACCTCCAAGCTTCACGTTGGCACCAACTGTCAAGGTTGCTCCTGTTCGATTTCTTTCCCCTCTTTTATTGTTGTGGTTGTTGAAATATCTGTCCCATCAGTGTTACTGGTCATGTGCCAAACCTACCAGCCATGGGAGGTGTGGGCAGCCCGAGTCTCTGCCTCAGGAACACTGTGAGCCCATGCTGCCCATCTGGTCAGCAGAGGGCACTGTAGGTGATGCCCCAGAGGGCTGCCCCTACCCGTCCTGTTCTCCCCGGGGGAGGAAGGTGCACCCAGAGCAGAGGGCTGGGGTGTCCTCTCTTGATGCTGTCCCTCACACAAGAGCCCCTTCGAACTCTGGCCTTCCCCTGACTTCCTAGACCAAGGGGCTCAACCATTTTAGCCCTCAGTTTTCTCTGAAAAATAACCCCTTCTTGTCCCTACCTTAGTTATACAGATAAAGAAAATGCCAGGTAAAGTTACTTGGGCTCCCTCTCTCTCTCTTCCTCCCCCACTCATGCTCTGTCTCTCTCTCTCAACAAATAAATGAACATTAACACAAAAGTTAAAAAAATATACGTTAGCAAAGAAAACCCTTCTGTAACTACGACCAATATTATGAATTTGAAGCAAATACTTCCTCTTTCTACTTGTAAGTAGCTACTGAGGGATGGGAAAGTTAACCGTCTTGCCTGAGGTCTTGCACGGCAAGTTAGGATTAAAAAATTAAAAAAACAACAACAACTACAGCTCTTCCTACTCCTTAGTATATGTTCCAGCCACTTAAACACTGTCACCTCTCACTGTTCATGTTTATTTACATGTGCAATAACAATCTTGGGTTTTTTTTTATCGGTAAGAGATACGTACCAAAATATTTACATTGGATG